GCTCGGGCGGCGAGAGGCCGCGGGAGATGCCGCCGTCGGGCAGGGGGCGGCTGGGCCCGCACAGGGGAGCCCTGGGCTGCAGCCGGCAGCTGGTTTAGGGGGCAGGGGGGCGGAGGAGACAGGACCGGGGGGCACAGGAGCCAGCGGGATGGGACCGCGCTGAAAGGAAGGCGGGCGGGAGCTAGCGGATCGGGAGGAGGGGAGGGACCCTAGGAAACGCGAGCTCCCGCGTCTTCATCTTGCAGACTTGGAAACCAACGAAGAGAAAAACTTGCAACTAAAAAGGACTCCAACATTCTTCAAGGTTAATATATATTTCAATTTTTAGACAGTGACTCAACTCATGATAAAGAAATGTTTGTGTGACCTTTAGTAATTAAGTTGCGCTTCTTTTTCTTGTTACATTAGAACAAAATTAAATTAGCAGGTAAAGGGGGGCAAATATATAGGGACAGAAGATGATTTGACTTGGGGGGGTGGGCACACAGTGCAATATACAGATCATTTTCATAGAGATGTGCACTTGAAACCTATATGATCTTATTAACCAAGTCACCCCAATACTTAAAATTAAATAGTTTTTATAATTAAGATAGAAGGTAAAAAATGGATCATACCTACTGCTACCTATATACATACATATGCATATACATATATATGGAATAAAATGTCCATGAAATATTTAACCACACTGTTAGATGGACTAATATTTCTACTGTCTTCTTTTTCTCTTTTTTCATTTAAAAAAACTGCTAATAGGTTACAACCTACAATTTGAAAAATACTGCACTATGCTGCCTGTATTCACGCTTTATTTTCTTTAAAAGTGTAAAATTTCCTAAGTCTTGCAACTGCCGTAATTTTTTTTTTAAATTAGCATAACATGAAAACAGTCATTTTTCTTGCTTTCGCTGTTAAGACAACAAAGTTATCGTAGCACCAGGAAAAGACATAACGGCACTTCAGTAACAAAAGGAAATGAGTAACCCCGAGTGCACGGCCTTTCCCATACCGGGCAGTGGTAATGGATTGTCACATCTTACCTGAGAGTCACAGTGGAGGGGAGGGGAGTTGATGGAGCAGCACTTGGAGGCAAAGCTGGAGCGCTTGTCCACCAGCTCTTGCAGCTCCTCGGCGGGGGCATCAGGCAGCTTTGCTCTCAGTCGCTCTGCCAGCCTGAAAGAGCATGTTTTGGTGAGGTTTTACTAGATGTATTCTATAAACATTTCTAATGCAAAAGATAGCCATTTCAGATCTGGTACAATAAAAACGAAAATAGAAATACTTGCCCCTCTCAAGAAAATTATATGTATCTGGGGAACTATTTTTAGTGACTCAATTTGAGATTAGAAAGTGAAGTCTACACCTCTTTTAAGATCATGAAAGTAAACATACAGATTGCTGCTGAATTTGAATTCTAGCCTTTCCCCCTTTCATTTCCTTGATTATATCAATTTGGATAACTGTCTCTCTTTTCATGAACCTTTCATCTTCTGTCTGATTCTAAGTTTCAAGCCTTAAAGGCTGTTTCCCTTATAGAAGTTCATTCCACTCTAATGCTTTTCCTCCTCTCTCATATTTTGTACAGTTTCCCCCTCAGTTTGCCGACTCGACTATGCTGAAAATACTGAAACGAGGCCAGGGCCCTTGGACTCTCCTGTTTAGCTCTATACTGACCAGCTCTCCGCCTCTGTCCAGGTGGTGCTAGGGCTTGAATTCCCTTGATTCTTCCCCGGTTTGAACTGTCTGCAATCTTGGTAACTCTCTACCCTCATGGTGGACAACTCAGCCTGGTTTTATGGCTTTCTCCAGGAGTACTTGCCCCCAGGATTAGGCAATGGGGGTGGGAGAGACCCAATTTACCTAGAGTTGGTGCTGGTAAAGTGCGTGCTGGGAAGGGACAGCAGGGTCAGGGGGACTAGTTTGCTCCTAAAAGCATTATTGAAATGGGTCGGTTCCAGCTGGGAGACGAGCAAGTGAGACCAGAAGGAACTCAGAGGATGGGAGGCAAAGGAGGGCGGTGGGGTTTCAAATATGAGACTGAACAGCCTCGATCTTCTCTAACTTCATAACCTTAAATGTCAGTTCTACTACAAGTTCATCTGGAATGGAGATGGTGTAAATTTTCACTCAGTTGCCCCAGGCAAAGCTGGAGCTCAGAACTGTTGGCGAAGAACTTAATCTTGCGTTGCCTGTTAACATGATTCTGTGCTACCTTCCTACTATTCTCCTAATGATGTAATTTTCTGATACCTGTTAAACAGTTTCAACCTATGGCTTTCATGGTCTTTTTATTTTTGTTTACAGCTTTGCTAAGGTTGATTTCATGGGGGTCATTGAAGGAGGCATCCAACTTTGGGGGTTCTTTAGAAAGGTCTGCGCTGACTTGAGGACTGTGTTGTTCAAGGTGATTTGAAATAGATGTGAGAAATATACTTAACGAAACTGAGAATGACGTGGTCTTCTCGACAGAGACATTGTCCAGGAACCCAGTAAATCTGCTTTCATTATTATGGCTCCTTATTTTAACGTTAACGCCTATTTGTAAAGGAATGCCTTCTCCTCTTACTTGAGACAAATGACTATTGGACAACATTGTGGATGATCAGTTAACATTTGTACTTTCAGTTTATAGAGACTACTATAAATTGGGTGATACCGCACTTAATTGAAAGTTTGGGTCCTCTTGTCAGACAATATGCTCTTGAATGAGATAACATTTTCCAGCAGTTTTATAGTTTCTTAATTATATGTAACAACATCTACAGATTGCTTTAGGGCAAGAACATTAATAAATTACAGACTACTTTTATTTCCTTAATTAAATCATTGCGGATCTTGTAATTTATGTATTTTTGGCAGTGTTCTAACCTGATATACATAACCTTTTTCCCCCCAGAAAAGAACTGGTTCTTACACAGATAATAGATTCTGACTACTTTAAAAAACTCTTTTAATTGAATCTCTTCTTTTTCTTGCTCACTTAGCACATCTTAAGTCTTAAACTATGCTTTCAAATCACAATACCAGGCTGATATGGATACGATTGGAGGGCACAGCTAGAACTAGTCCCTTACTTTTTCTTGTACTCAGTAAATGTATTTTCTGAATAATCTGCACATAGTTCTTGCCCCTTGTCAATGAAAGAAGATATCTCCTTCTTCAGTTGAGGAACCTGTAAGAAAATAATAATCACATAAAAGTAGTTATCTTAACACTGTTCTGGGAGGCATGAAATCAGAATTCCATGTGACATGTCAGTAGGAGTGTTTTCATCTACACCAGACATTGGCAAACATTTTCTGTATAAGGCCAGATAGTAAATATATGGTGTCCCCTCAAAAATGTATATATATACTTTGAATAATTATACAAGCAGTATTTATTAGACTACATCTCATTTTCAAAATTGAGCTATCAGCTGTAAACTGTGCACTCATTTTTGGGGGACACCCTGTATTTTAGGTTTTGTAGGCCATATGTAGTTTCTGTTGTAACTACTCAACTCTGCTGTCATGGCACCAAAACAGCCATAAACAATGCATAAATAGTGTGCATGGTTTATGTATGAACACTGAAATTTGCATTTCATATAATTTTAATGTCATGAAATGGTAATCTGTTTTTAAAGCCATTTAAAAATGTAAGACCATTTTAGCTCACAGCTGTACAAAAGCAGGCACGAGTCCAGATGTGACGCATGAACTAGTTTGCCAACTCTTGATCTAGACCAAGGCTGATGCAGAAATTGAGTGTACTGCACCTTAGCATTAAAACAGGCAGTAGGATCTTTAGAGTCACAGCATTCTCCAAGGCTTTTCAGGGTTGGCTCAAGTATTTTGGTGAGAAATACTTCTGGAACGTGAGTCCTCCTAGATAGTTCAAATGTATACCTGGCGTGAGAGAAGAAAGAGATGACACACTTCAACACGCATGGGTACACTTGTGAGTGTGTGTCACGTTTTGAGATTTGACGCCTATAACAAAGGCAGAGCAGCTGGCTTCTGTATATTTAATTAAAAATTAAAGATTTAGCTAAAACTGAATCCAAATCAACAGGTTTAGGATTAAAAACAATATTCTCATTGAAATACAAGTTATTGATAGTTGTTTTGAAGTTGCTGTGACTAGTTAATACTGAACTAAAGCTCTGTGTACTATGTACATAGTCACACACGCACATATACTTATATCTGCTCCAATGCATATGGAACTGTCCTTTGTGTAACTATAACACAATTAATTCTGCATAAAGCATCAAGTAGGTACTTTAAGTGGCTCTTCTGTGAAAACAGATTTGCATGAATTCTTTGATTACCTTATCCCATTGCTATTTATGCATTTATAAAAACGATGAGTAGTTAGACAAATACAGAATTTCAGCGCAGTCTAAATTCTGCTCTCTGATATTGATAAATGATTTTCTGACCTGTTAATTCAGCCTACTTGTGCAATAAATTTATGCCATGAATATACATATACTATTCATAGTGTATGCAACTCATGATGTATTTATCCTAATTCTTTCCTTTTTAAAAAAATTTTATCTTTACTGTTGAAAGAATTACAGATGTCCCATTTTCCCCCCATTGACCCCTTCTACCCACACCCACACCCACCCTAGGCCTTTGCTACACTATTGCCTGTGTCCTTGGGTTGTGCATTTATGCATATAAATTCTTTGGTTAATCTGTCCCCCTCCACCCACCCCCACCTTCCCTCTGACATTCGTCAGTCTGATCCATGCTTCCATGTCACTGAATCTGTTCTGTTCACCAGCTTATTATGTTCTTTAGATTCCACATATAAGCGAGATCATGTGATGTTTGTCTTTCTCTGCCTGGCTTATTTCACTCAGCATAATATTCTCCAGGTCCTTCCATACTGTCCCAAAGGGTACGAGCTCCTTCTTCTTTACAGCTGCATAGTGTTCCATGGTGTGAATGTCCCACAGCTTTTTACCCACTCACCTACTGCTGGGCACTTGGGCTGTTTCCAGATCTTAGCTATTGTAAACTGTGCTGCTATGAACATAGGGGTGCGTATATTCTTTCTGATTAGTGTTTCAGGATTCTTAGGATATATTCCTAGGAGTGGGATCACTGGGTCAAAAGGAAGCTCCATTTTTAATGTTTTGAGGACCCTCCACACTGTTTTCCACAGTGGCTGCCCCAGTCTGCATCCCCACCAGCAGTGCACTAGGGTCCCCTTTCCCCACACCCTCGCCAGAACAAGTTGTTTGTTGATTTGCTGATGGAGCCATTCTGACAGGTGTGAAGCGACACCTCCTTGTGGTTTTAATTCTCATCTCTGATGATGAGCGACGTTGAGCATTTTCTCATGTGTCTCTTGGCCGTCTGCATGTGCTCCTAATTCTTTTCTTAGTGAAGCCAAGTAAAAGTTTACTCTTTCTTCCCCATCTAGTTTCTTTGTCATTTAATGCTAGCGAAAATCAATACTGTCAAGAAAATAATTAGATCAGCTCTACTTACCTATCCATGGCTTTGGTGTTTCCTTTGCCACACACATCTTTACTTGTGGGCAACTCGACGTCCGGCAGCTCTGGTGGCTGAGCAGCTGGCGTGAAGTAAGCACACATAAAAATGTCCATGGGTGTTTTTTCTTGACAACAGTCCTTAAACTTATCATTCTTTGTGGATAAGTTGTCACAGAGTTTTACTGTGTGTTCAGGCAGCTACAAAAGTAATTGTGATTTTATGCATTGTTAGTTTTCTGGTAGGTCCGATTAAAAATAAGGAAGGTTTACACAGGCTTGCCAGCCCTGGCATGGTGTTAAAAAAGTCAGTGGGGATGCTCTTAGAAAGTAAATTGACATAATATTTTTGGAGGGAAATTTGTCATTATGTACTAAAAGCCTTAAAATGTACAATTTGACTTCCAAGAATTTATTCTCGGAAAATAATTGTGGTGAAGAGAAGATTTAGCTATAAGGCTCTTAAGGACAGTATTACTAAAATACAAAAACTGCAGCACCTAAAGGGACTGGTTAAATAAAATAAGGCATCTCTAGGAGATGGATGTAGTGTGCACACACACACACATCTACATATTAGAGAGAGACCTACTAGCCATTACAAATCTGGTTATAGAAAAACACCTATCAACACAGACACATATTCTTAATGGAAAAAGACCAGGCAGCACAGTGTTACTATTCCTAAGGCGCTCACAGACCTGGAGAGTGACCTTTAGCTAAAGTAACTGTTCAAATTCATACCTACTTGAAAGAATTGTGTAAATGCAAAATGGTGGGAAAATGGAAACGCCCGTCAAATTATGACAGCTGTCATAAGAACAGTCGTAGTTTCTGATAGGATAATGGTTGCAGTGTTGTCTGACAGAGCTTTACGACGTGGTGGCGAACATTGTCTGGACTGGACTGTCTAATACTAGTGAGCATTTGAAATGGGGCTCGTGTGACTGAGGAACTGAAGTTCACCTCTTATTAAAGTTTAATTGTATTGGACTTAAATAGCCACATGCGGCTGGAGGATACTGTACTGGGCTCTGCAGGTGCACTAAGTTCTTGGGAATCAGCTACCCTTGTCTTCGTGTGTGGACTTTGCTGCTTACTAGTTTGAGACTTTATTGATCCTGACTAGTATTCTGTTTCTTCATCTGTAAAATGGATTTAATGTATGTGAGTTTCACAGGAAACATGTTGGGATCACTGAGATGATGCCTGTAAAGAGCAGCTGAGAAGTGCTTGCCACTTAGTGTGAGGCAGGTGATGATGGTGATGATGATGGGGATTCTCTTACCTCCTTCGCCATGCAGTCCTCAGAGGTGGACTCACAGCATTTGGAGAGGGTCATGGTAACATCTTCAGCTAGTGGCAGAACATCCCCCAGGTCAGCAGTAGGTGCTTTTTGGGCTAATTTTATGAGATGGCTGAATAGTTAAGAAAGAGAGTGTTAGCTTAGTCCAAATCTCAGTTTCCCTGGTTTCATTATGAACACACACTAGAGAAATAGCACCATAGTTTCATCTCCTAGTCCTCAACAGCTGCACGGAGCACGTCTGCTCTGCATTGCATCCTGTGTGCCGAAGCTACTACTTAAAATTCAGTCATCCCCAGTGAATCTTTTCAGATTTTCAGTACTCACATGCAGCTCCTCTTTTGGCCAGATCTACATAGTTGAATGATGCCTTTAAAATGTCAATAAAGCCCTGGTGGGGTGGCTCAGTTGGTTGGAGCATCATCCTGTATGCCAAAAGGTTGCGGGTTCGATTTCGGTCAGTCAGAGTGCATTTGGGAGGCAACCAATTGATGTTCCTCTTTCATATCAATGTTTCTCTCTCTCTCAAATCAATAAAATAAAATAAAGGGGGGGGGGCACCCAGCTGGTGTGGCTCAGTGGTTGAGCATTGACCTAGGATCCAGGAGATCGTGGTTCGATTCCTGGTCAGGGCACATGCCAGGGTTGCAGGCTTGATCCCCAGGCGGGCGCGTGCAGGAGGCAGCTGATCGGTGATTCTCTCATCATTGGTATTTCTCCCTCTCTCTCCCTCTCTGAAATCAATAAAGATATATTTTTTTAAAAAATGAGGGAGGGATAGCAGTATTTGTAGCTAAATTTTTGTTCACATTCAGTGCCATTTCCTTGGGGTAATTTCCTAGACACTAATGCAAGTATAAATTAATGATTAAGGTAGATGTATCTTATAAGTGTTTTTATGTCATAAGTTCCTATGCTCTACTTGTCAACTACAGTATCTTAATGCAAAAGTAGAACTAAAGTGAAGGTCTAGAGAAAATGCCGTTCAGTATTTGAGTAGTTCTAATGGAAAATTATTTTTAAAGGACTGATGAAAGTAGTTTCTATTCCCACTAGGGAAACTCAGGATCTGGTGCCAACACAAAATAAATTCTTTTATTCCCATTAAAGGAAAAAAATTTGTGGATCAGAGTAGAAGGAATTAAAGAGACTTAAATGCTGAAAAGATAAGATAAGGTGGGAAAATCCAGATGTCCGAGGATATATGAGACGAGTATAAACATAGAAAATGTCAAAATTAAAATACGGAGTCAACAGCAGCCATACAAAAATCAAAGTGAAAGTTACAAATAAGGTAGCTAAGCACATTCACAAAGCTTAAGAGATACATATTATGCAGCACAAAGCTTCATGTAACAAATAAGGATCCAAGAAGTCTCATCCCAAGACAAAAATGGGCAAAGCAAATAACAGGCGATAAAAAAACACAATTCGTTTTTGCTTGTGTGTGTGTGATATATGCTAATATGAATGCCGATGAAATAATTTCCAGTGGTCTCCCAGTTTTCCCGTATGAGTATATGGAAAAGGTTGGTTAGAGCAAATCTCATGTTTTACAACAGAGCCCTGTTTCTTACTGTTCATATTCTGTGTAGAAAAAAAGAGCTAGGCATAATTTTGAGGATGATTGGAGCATAAGACTATATTCAGTATCTTCTAGCACAGACACTTTCTTAGAGAATCCTAATATTGTGGACAGACAGAGCAGAATCAAACAGCTGAACATATGGACGCTTCACCTTTACCTGAGCCTTAATTTCTCCTTCCCATAAGCAGCGTATCGTGAGCACATTCTATTTGACATGGTGGTGAGAAGGGATAAATGTTTAATCTGGAGCCTCTAGAAAATGAATGAGAGAGTCTCATTAGACAGTTAAGATCCGCCGAAAGCAGTGAGCAGGAATGAAAAAAGAGACCGTTAATATCACGACTTTTTTGATGACTACAAAACTGAATTCTGACCAAAGAAATGTATCGATATTTCTTTCTTAGAGGTGGCATTATATTTGTTTTTCCAATTCACAAAATGCCAAAGAGGCCTGTTAGAAACTATTACTGATCCCAGCATCTGAACGTGTACCATTTTTAAAAGGAATAGCATTAATAAGAGAAACAAGAAAAGAACAGAGCTAGGTAATCAATGGCACCTACCTCTTTCAAAAAGCACAGGGTGGGGCTTGGTGAGGTGCAGCAGGACCCCACCATGGAGAGGTAACTCTTGGTGTAACCGACTAAAAGTGGCAGAGGGGCTTGTCCATAATTAATGGAATATTCATACATAAACCTGAGGGGCGAAGAGAGCCGGGGTCAAAAAGTTTGTGGGAAACAATCTACTTTTTCATAAGTATTTTCATGGAGAGAGGATACATGTTAAGTTACAGTTTTGATATCTAGAAAGCACTAAGGATTTATAGAAAGCATTATAATACCAGTCACTTTCGATCAATATTTTCATTAAACATAAATAGGTTCTTTCCTAAATTTCCATGTGGATTGCTTGAGAAGAGGGGGCCATTTGCCCCCTTTGTTCACTTAGTGTCTACAGGAGCTTGGCTCATTGTAGATGTTTATTAATATTAATTGAATTAATTAAAACAAATGTAATTATGAGTTTACCCTTTCATTATCTCTGTTTACTATTCTAGACAATTGCTATGTGTAGGTTTAGTTATTTATTGAAATCTTTTAAAATTTTTGGAGCATAAACCCCTATGGAGCTAAAGAGACTGAAATCTTGGGCAAAATCCTCTCTGAAAATTTAAGGGGATGGGCAAGTCAACCAATTTTTATAAAATGTGACCTTGATTTCATACTTTTAAAGCCCATTTGAATGCTATTGCTTTTGAATTTTTGTATGCACACACACATGCGCATATATATGTATATTTTGATTTTTGGTGTATATGTTTTTCCATTAGAATTGATTTTCCCCATTGTTCATTTTTAAGATCTTCTAAGACTAATGTAAAGAATCTATATATAATCTGTTTTTTTATGAATGTTAAACAATGACAGAGTCAAAGTAATATGTTCACTGATGTAGAGCAATATGTGTACTATTCATAGTTCTTTCTTGGAATGTGAAGAAGAAACCTGTTTATTTCTTATGCTTTAGTGAAAACTAAGTATTAAAAATGTGCATAGCAATAAAGTTATATCAGATGTAGTATGCAAAGATCCCTAGGTTAAGGGGAATCACTATAGCTGCTGTCAAATATTTGAAAATCTATCGTGAGGACAGGGGATCTGAGTAATTCTGCTTCAAGTACAAGATAGGATGAACTGGGTGGGAGTTTGGGAAAGCTGATTTTTATCTCTGTCCGAGAAAGGCATTTACAATAGTCAGCAGTGACAGATGGGCTGTCTTAAAGTCAATTTCTCATTATTGGAAGTTGCTGTAGAATAGGTGTTTATATAGAGGGCGTTAGATTAGATACATCTGATATTTTATGCTTTTAAGTTTTAATTCTGATGAAAGCAGCCTACTGGTTAGCAAATTCCTTGGGATCTTTCCTGAACGCCTCACAGATTTCATCGTTACTTGGCTCCACGTAGTTGGGGAATTCTTGTGGCTGGTGCTTCAGGGCAGCCATGCAGAGTTTCTGTTCCAGGCCCTCTTTGGCACAGCACTCGGCAGTTCCTGGGTGCGCTGGGAATGGAGAGTCACTTTCACAGGACCTAGCGGACAATGCTGACGTCTAGAAAGAGGAGAGAGACAAGCAAACTCACGTATCTACAGGTTTCCAGGCTTGTATGCCTCCCGTCAGTGTAGCATCTTTAGTCAGACATTTAAATTCTCATTAACACCAGACTGCCCATGCCAAAGGCTCCATGAGGTGATATATCAACATGGCAAGTTGCAAAATATTACTTGTGGGCAAGCGCAGGGTCTTATTTATGTTAATAGATGCCTTTCCCTGGAGTCGGAGAAAAATCGAACCTTCATTAATAAATGGACTGCTTGATTGCAGCCATTAAAAAAAGCTTTATCGTCTCGGCCAGTGTTTCTCCCAGGGATATTAACATCCCTCAGCATAAGGGAGGTCGTTTCCAAAAGCTCTCCTATGAGCTCCTGCCTGGGTTCTGCTGCAAATACCCCGGAGAATAATGAGGGCCTTCCTGCCCGCCTCCCCGCCTTGATCACAGGAGCAGACTCTCAATTGTTAACTGCTTTAGTCCACATGGGTTTGCACTCTTACCACTGGTTCTTGAGCCCGCTTTTGCATCAAAATCTCTCATAAAATATACAAGACTAAGAAATGCCTGGGCTGCACAACACAGAAATTCTGAAACAGCAGGTCAAAGAGGAGGCCTCAGGATCTGTTTTCCCCAAAGCTTATTCTCACGCGCAGCATGGGTTGGAAACTGCTGGAGCAGCCTCCCCTGCCGGCCGCCTCGGCGCTGACACACCGGCGCAGGCGGGCAGCCAGCCCACGTAGGACCCCAACGCAACTGTGGCCGCAAAGTGGCTTTTTGGAAAGAATTTGGAATGCAAATGTACCGCAGGAAGAGCCATCATGGGAAAAGTTATTTTGGGATTTACATGGGAAAAAGTTCTTGGACATCCCTACACTTATTTTACATGGCATTTTACATGTTAATCACCTTTTCAAGGGAAAACTTCTAAAGCTCTTTCCTATCAATGAAGGAAAGCAACGTGATGAATTAGTTACGGGAGAGGAAACATCTCTCATCCTCTCCCACGTCCAACTTCCATCAGACTCTCAGAATTTAGGGATTCTTAGGAACACACTTTTTTTAAAATCTTCTCTCTCTTTTCAGTGAGTCTCCTCTTCCATTCCCTTTCTTTCCCTGTCAACTTTCCTGTTTTTTTCTTTTTTATTACCTCCTTTCAGATAAGAAATTTAAAAAGAAAAAGCACCAACACATTTTTAAAAATGCTCTGAGTAAGCCGGAGAAAGAGGAGGTGGCGTGCAGAAGCTCTCCATGCTTCTCTCGTGATGAGAGAGTCATTGACCCGCCGCCTCTGTTCTCTCACGATCCGTCTCTGCAGCCCTGCGGCTTCTCTCCAATCAAGGCGTGGGTCAGCAAATACATAAAAAATGTGCTTTGTTATTCTGATCCTGGTTAGTAGTTTGCTGCTCATTTATTTTAAGGTGGTTCAGAAGGTCTGGTTGAAATGACGGTTGTTTATGGACTCAGTGAGAGGAGAAAACGATTATAAAGTTCTTAAGAAGTAGATATGAGCCGGATAAAGCAATTAACGGTAAGAGTAATCATTGTATAGATTATAGTCCAGTGATCGGTGGAGCACTGTTTCTGCAGGCTAACTGCCTCAGGCTTGGACAGGGAGACTTCTGCCTGTAGAGGCCTTTATCAAGATGCATCTAACGCCATTTGCATCAGGCCTGATGACTACATTAGTAAATTGCTAGAAACACGTGTGGTTTCCCTTGTTACCAGCTTCTGTCTATATTTTGAACCTTGTCATTTTTGCATTTTAATTTATCACATATACTTCAGGGGAGAAAACCCAAAACTTAGTGGTTTATGTTTATAGGGCAATTTTGAACACCAAATTAATTTGAAGCCAACACTAAATGACTGGGTCGGTCAGTATGAGGTTTGGCATGATAAAAGTATACATAGACTTTTAAGACACACTTTTAAGATACTTGAGTCAGTATATGCCTCAGTTTTATCATTTGAACCTGTAGAACTAATGGGACAAGTGGGTTCATTATGTTAGAATAAATCTGGGATGATAGGCTTCATATATCCCCCAAATTGGAGTCGGTGGAGTTGCTGTCTAGGATTTCCCTAAGATGCGGCATAAAGGCCTATCTTGGCTCCCTTCTGTAGCCACCAACAGGCCCGGCCATGGAAACCTACCCTGTTGTCATAGCAGTCAGGGTCTGCCCCCTCAGCACAGCAGGCTTCTGTCAAGGAGACAACTTCCTTCACTAGATGACTGATCTGCTCAAAGGTTCCACTGGGAAATTTTCTGCTGTAGAAGACCATTGATCTGAGGGGAAAAATAAAGTCAATACATTGATTAGGATGAATTTTGTTCCACATTTACACATGTTAAAATATAAAATCTGTTCAGTTTTTTGTTGTTGTTGTTGTTTTAAATATATCTTTATTGATTTCAAAGAGAGGAAGGGAGAGAGAGAGAGAGAGAAACATCAATGATGAGAGTCATTGATCGGCTGCCTCCTGCACGCCCCCACTGGGGATCAAGCCTGCAACCCTGGCATGTGCCCTGACCAGGAATCGAACCCCGATTGCCTGGATCCTAGGTTGATGCTCAACTGCTGAGCCACGCCATCCGGGCTGTTCAGTTTTTTTTTTAAATGAATAGTGCACATATTTTCTTGATGAATGAAAAGAATCTGAGGTTTCCTTTTCGTTTTCATTCTAGGTACATTGATCTTGTAAAGCAGTAGAAGTTGGACTTGAGGGTTCCATCAAACCAGCCTCATGTTCTTTCCTCTCTCAAGCCTCCCCATATGAACCTGTTCTGTACCTTTTGTCTGTTTGCCAGCCCTAGCATGTACTGTTTGCATTTTAATTTACCTTAGACAACTATACTTACTGTCTTAATGCATTGATAAACACACCCGTAACGAGTTCTTAGACCATAGCAGCGATAGTTCAGCTGGGATCTTAGATGCCCTTCCTGTGCCTGGCTTCTCTGCCTGCACTGACTCTGGGCTCTATCCTGGGGATCTTAGCAGAAATCAGTTCAGCCCTTCACGCGGGATTGAAGTTACCTTACACGCAGCTTCGTTGAAGGTCAAGTGACCAAGAGGGTGGGTGGCTGCCTTGTACTTACAAGGATGTGAAGTCTTCTCTCCCCAGACTGGTGAGCTCCTCGCAGACTTTACTCTTTTCATAATCCCGACCTAGGGACCAAGAAATAGAAAGTTTCGCACTTACTTTCTGTTCAATGAATATTGCATTAAATGCATATGTATTAAGGGGTCCTTCATGTGACTTATCTGTGGTGAAACTAGCATTTTCTATATAAAGTCCCATTGTTTTGATGCCTTTCTAGCTGGTTCATAAAAATGGATCCAAATTTGATGGTCTGCTATAAATGTTAATGGACGGCAGGAAAAAGTGTGAACTGGCACTAAAAGCAAGCCGCCAACTGATCTATCCAACTAGCGAGTCAGAACCTACTGATGCGTCAAGAAGTCTCTTAGGTTCCGTCTTCATAACAATGCTAAAATTGGACGCTTTTTGTCCCTCCCTTCTTTATCTTGGTTTCATGTAAGGCCTAGAAAGAAACAAGTACAAAAAATAAGTGGAGAGAGTGCCTACATTCCTAACTGGAGAGCTAGCCCCACTGTTGCAGGACCTGAAAGGGAGTGTGTCGGAGTTGTTCCATTGCCTGCCTCCAGACTCTCTTATAAGGGAATGCTAGGAATTCAGCTGGGGGAAAAGATGAAAATTAGGCAAAATGTTTTTTCTGAGAAAGTTGGCAGAGTGGTGGGTGTAGGTGAATGGTGGGGAGTGCTTCCCCTCATTTCAAGTGTAGCGAAAGGGGCTTCAAGTAAAACACTCCAAGACCTTGGTAGGTGACCCTTGTAGTGTGGGGTTCAATGGGCAGGTGTCTGATTCAGACTAGGAAAGCTAAAGGCTTGGGGGCTGGTTCAGTGGCCTAGGGCAACGCACTAGGAAACATGTGAGTGGGAAGGTGCGCTTCAGCTTGTGGACCTGATGTCGATCAAGCAGGAGAGCAAGCTGGCCGGGAGTTGTCTTAAGTGCCTCCCTCCCCCCAAAGGTCTATCTAGAGGACAGTGGGCTGCCAACAATGGGATATCTCTGTGCAAGTCTGAAAATCAGGGCCAAAGGAAGTTTTGAGGTGCCAACTGGATGTGAGAGATCCTCAGAGGTTATGAGAAAGATCTCCAGAGAAGCCACGAAGAAAATGTCAACATTGAACACCTCCCACAACCAGAGGAAACCACACGACCTCACTAAGCTGCCCACTGAATTAGCTTTTCCTGCTCTTACCTCTCCTGCTGGCTTCATCGTTCCCTGTGTCTGAGGAACCAAAAGCAGCCAAGAGAGTGGGAGCAAGAGGAATAGAGCAGCAGAGGGAAACAGGGAAGTGTACGCGTCTCCCTTTCACACCACAGGCAACAGGGCAGACAGGGGCCTGGTCTTAGGGCATAGCTTCACCTTTAAGCAAATTTATTAAATTAAAAAATATATGTATTTTAAAATATGTTTTTATTGATTTTTTTTTTAGGGAGGGGGAGAGGGAGAGAGAGAGAGAAAGATCAATGATGAGAGGCATTGATCAGCTGCCTCCTGCACGCCCCCCACTGGGGATCAAGCCAGCAACCCGGGCATGTGCCCTGACCGGGGAATCAAACCCTGATCTCCTAGGGCGATGCTCAACCGCTGAGCCACACCAGCTGGGCAAATTTACAAATTTTTGCCTATTAAATGCAAGCAGATATTCCCATGACTGTTATGAGGTGGTTATTTCGAGGTTCAAAGGGACCAGAAGGCCTTTTATTTGCGAGTGAACAGAAAAATCATAGAACCTACTTTTCAGTCCACTCAAGAGATTGGGAGGAGCTAGTTTGCTCAGGAGGAGATGAGTTTTCTATTGTTCGTGAGACCCACAGTTCAACACACCTACTACCTGCGCGGCGGGGGGCGCCTGGAAGGTAGGCCGGTGTTCTGCCCTGATATGTCGTTTATGCAAATACGTCCAGGACATTTTCTGACACTTTATGATGCTCTATCTTTCAAAAAGAATGTAAGAAGTATATAAATGGCTCAGTTTCTGTTCTGAAATATGTGGTTTTAACTCTTAGTGACCTATCTTCCTGGCTTTAAATAGTAGGAAATCCATCTCAGGTGGTGGCAGTTGCTCTCATACCGTTTAACACCCCAAATGTCCTTACCTCCCGACAGTTACTGTTCTGTGGAAGAGCAACTTGACATCAATGAGGTAGAAATCTTTGTTTTATGGTTTGGAATGAAGGATGATGGTTGGATACAGGCTAGAGAGGGGTTTTTTTTCTTCTTTTAAAAAAGATTCTCAGTAGGATTTGTTAGATTTATTGGTGAAAACTCCCTGTGGAGGAAGCTGTAGCCCCTTGTATCTTCCAGGTAGACAACTCAAAGCATAGTGTTGAGATGACAAGGTCAGAATTAAGGACAAAGACACTCTTAAGCAGCACTTTGTAATAAGGCCCCAACTTAAATACCATCAGAATCACACATTGTCTTGGAAACTAGATAGCACAGGGGAAGCTACTGGTCAGTGGAGTACGAAACGGCGCTCGCAGCAAACCTCTCTTCTATCTGCGAACCTTCAAATCGAGCAAACCTCCTGGAATTTATTGACTAGTTTACAAGGTTGGAGACCGTCATGGTTTCAAAAGGTCAAAATAAGGCAGAAAGTTTCCGTTAATCATTAATGGTGCTCTGTGGGACTGAGAGTACGACAGAGAGGGGAAGGACTTAGGTAGAGCTGTCTTCCTATAATGAAGAGCTGTAACCTCAGGGTGTCCACAGGGTGGTTTTATGAGGCCTCAAAGGCCGAGCTGAGAACACGGCTGGCAGGAGATTCTGGTTCAGTGGGAGAACTTGGCTGTAGCCACGGCCAAACACTACCTGAAACGATGAACAGCTTCCTAGAGAAGTGAGTTTGTTAAGTCACTGGAGATATTCAAGTGGAGCTTAAATAATCATACATATGAAAGATTCCTGATTCTGGACAGGATTGTATCTTCTTGATGTTTAAGATCACTTCTAAGGGATTACAAAATAGTTCCTTTTAGAAGCAGTAAGAAACTATATGGAACCCTTTTCCCCCAAAGCTTACTATGTTTAGAAAAAATAGCTCTTTCTCTTTTTAATGCATAGGAGCTAATTTTGTTTAATAAAGCCTCCCTATACAACTGCAGAGATTATTTTTATTAATTTTTTGTGTGACTACTCAATATTCAAAGTGAGAGCCTGCATTCAAATGGGTACCTCTGATGAACATTTTCACAAATGATTTGTTTCTAGCCTTTCAGGTTCAGATTTCTCACTTCAGCAAAGAAGTAGTTTTTATTCAGTGTTACAGGAATATGTGAGTACATGTGAATGTTGTGTCAGTGGCCACTGCACATTATCTCTTGTTGAACAGCTTTAATGGAATCAGCTGCTTGTGTTTGCATGGAAGTGCATCAGAATCCACAGGCCTTCACTAGTGCTTCAGCTAGAGTGTAAGATTATTTGAGAAAAATAGAGAACTAGATTGATTAGATAAGACTTAAAATGGCTTTGAAACCATTTTTGGTGGAACACTCAACCTTGGGTACAACAGAAGCAAGGAGGAAACCCAGAAGGGAAGCACTGGGAAAATTCAGAATTAAAATATAAAACAGTAAAACCGCTCTTACAAAACCAACCTGCAGAGGAAGATGTTGCGCCATGTATCTTTCAGGCGGATGACTCGAAATATAGTTCTGATTTAAACAATTTTATTTATTCATTTACCCAAAGAGAACATACACAGCTTATAAGGCTAGGCAAATATGTTAATCATCTTCTCATCTTCCACAAAACAACAAATACTGAAGTTAATTTGCAGTGTGATTATTACAAATTGATTTCTAGTCCATGGAGTACTGCCTAATAAAAGTTTTTTCATTCCAGTTGAGCCTACTTTGACTCATATGATTAAATTCTGCCTTGAATGAACTGCAAATGACTCAGTCGGTTCTTTAATGTGCCATGTGGTTATAAAGAGGGCAATCTGGACTTTGACATGGCCCCAGTAAATATTGGCATAATCTCAGTGACACAGGGGAAATCTTTTTCACACAGTGACCTCTCAGCACTAAATGTTTACAAATTTCATGAACAGAATTTTTGCTTTTGCAATAGCATGTCTCATTTCTATCTGTGTTGTGAAACATTCCTGTAAGTCATGTCTAATCCTGGATTTTTTTAAAAAGAAATTAGATTTACTTTCAGAAAATCTTTAGTGCTCCATGCTCCCCTCTCCCAACACAGCTGACAATATTCACTCATGCACGCAACAGACATGCCTAAAAGATTTACTCTGTGCCAGGCACCGGGTTCAGTATTGAATGTACAAATGAGAGCGAAACAGACACATCCCTGCTCTCATGGAACTTCTAATCTATTGGGGACACACAATCAGATGCTCACTGTCTTGGTACAAACTTTACTGAAAAAGGTATTTCGAATGCTTTAAGTATTGTTGTTATAATCTTCCTCTATAGCAACTTGGTCCCCTAGAAAAGCGTTTGTACACTAGGACCCCAAATAACATAGAATTGAATACATGCTGATACAGAAAGCTAGGAATTGTCTTAAGTTGCTGTTTTCCAATTTTGTGCTGAAGAATCATGGGGTTTCAGAACTCTGTTGGGCATTTTATATTTTTGCAATTTCATTTCTTTGGCATTTTTATTTCTGTTCTACACAGACAGGCTCATCTGTGTCAGAAAAGGTCAGTATATTTGTTTTTGCTTTTTGTTTTAAGCTTTAAGTGTACTTTTTGCTTGTTCAGAACAGTCAGACTGGATATTGGTGATTGCCAAGTAATGGTTTTATTTGAGAAATTAAACATTGCTGGGCTGGTTTAGGAAGCTGACCTGATTATTGGAGCTAAAGATAATTATACATGTATCCCTAGAAACACTGTCAATGAAGAAGTAGTAATCAAGTTAACCTTTATTCCATTTTCAGCCTTTTTATTTTGGTTTCACCTCCATTGATGTTTTTCATCATTATATGAAGCGTTAATCTGGTTTTTCGTATTGGTATTGATGTTTGCAGGCAGGTGTGCAATTTTCTGAGTTTAAATCAATGGGAAGAAATTCAATTCTTTTAATACTAAATCTAGAGGTCACATGCC